CGCTCTCCATTGTATTCTTCCCCTCCTCAGCACTACTCTCTAAGGCCTCCTTGGGAGTTACTGGTTCCCCCGGAGAGAAGAACACGAAGGCACACTCCTCGTGGTCACTTTCCTCATCATCTCCAACCATCATTGCCGCTCCGGCCAAGGCTGTCTTGCCCGGCTTTCTCGGCGTATCATATGTCAACCTATTAGGGGCTTGGAATTTCCTCTTACCCCTTCCTTCCTCCTCAACTGCAGGGACTTGAAGGCCTTGGCGTTGCTGCGGGGTGACTCGGATCCGTAGAGCACTTGTAGTGCGAGAAAGAAGTGTCGGTGCATGCTCGCTCACTTGCTGCACCTCCTCGCCCCTCTTCCTCTGCATTCTTGGCCTCCTCTCCCCAATTAATAAGAGGGGATTGCATTGTGATGGTGCTACCGCTGCTCAGCTCCAAAGGCAGCTCCACATGCTCCAAACCAGAACTCCACGAGCAAGGCGGTGAAGGCCGCCATGGACGAAAAGACCAGGAGCCTCATCGCCAACGAAACGTGGGAAACGGTCAAGCGTCCGCGCGGTGTCAACATCATGAAGAACCGCTGGGTGCTCATGACGAAGTACCACGTCGATTGCAAGAAGGCCTCCCTGGCTGTGAAAGGCTTCACGCAGGTGCACGGCGCCGACTAAAACAAGACGTACATCCTGGTGGGGAACTATGTGATGCTGCGAATCTTCCTGTTCACCGTTGCCGTCCTTGACCTGCACTTGATGCAGCTTGACATGGAGAAAGCGTTCCTGCAGAGCAAATTTGATAGCGTCCTCTACATGTACCAGCCCCACTACAACAACGACGGAACCGGCCGCATCTTATCTGGTGAAGAGCTTGTACGGCCTGAAGCTGAGTTAGTTGCTGTAGTACTTGGCGCTCGATGCTGGCTGGAGCAAGAGCAAGGGCGGCGACAACGGAGTGGTGTGCGCGCTGCTCGTCAATGTCAACGACCTGCTCGCCACCAACAGCAGCCTCGCGATGCTGAAGGAGTTGAAGGAGCCGCTGGAGGCCGCCTTGAGCTACACGAGATCTGCCCTTTCAAGAAGTACCTCGCGCTGGATATCGTGCGCGGCCGACTGGCGAGGAAGCTGTGGCTTCACCAGCAGGCCTACGTCGACAAGCTGCGTAGGCGTCTCATCGACGAGGAGTAGACCGGGAGAGGCCCGAAAACGCTGGTCTCCGTCGACGCCCACGCATGGTTGACATTCGATAACGAGGAGACCCAATCGTGCAAGGTACTGCACAATTCCAAGTGTGCAATTGGCGAAAGTTACATTTTGTAATAATCCAAAATTTGATGTCCAGTACAGCACAATATTTGTACGAGTAAGTTTTACTAGGCAGTGGTTCGCATCGGTTTTGTCGATATAAATCGGGTCGGCAGTCGTGGGTGGTGCCCATCGTTCCACGCGTGCCGACCATCATATCAAACTGCTCGGCCACGCTGACCCCGTCCTTATAGCTCGAGTAATATGCCGTAGCCATATGCTGTTAGATTCCCTATTTCAACCTTACGATGTAGCTTTGATTATGTTCTCTTTCGGTTAGGTCGGCAAATCTGGTTGTAACATATCTCTATCCGTTGCGTACACTGCATCACACTCGTATACTGTCAGTGTCGATAAATATTTTCCTAAACCATATCTGTGCTATATGTACAGGCTCGAAATGATAAATTGGGTCAGTCTGAAATTGCTCCCACGGCCCTTCACCTTAGACGAAAGCACTGTCTACGAAAATCCATTCCAGTGTCATTCTTCACATCAGTGTAGATGTGAGTTGTACACGTGTCATAGCCTGTTTGTGGGTCGTGCATCCAACAGCTGCGAAGTAAGTCTCGAGTGTAGCGACGAATCGATGGACGTCGCTGCTTCTGGTAGCCTCGATTTTAGGGGCGCAAAAATGTTGTAGTCATGGCCACTGTTGCCTATGGTAGCCTCGGTTTCGTGGGTGTCACTATCGTCGCAGGTACACTCGCTATGGCTGCAAACTATTCACAAACAGTGTTGCCAATTGGTAGGGCTCGTTGCGAGTCTGCTCCTCCTTGGCGCGCAAGTGCCCGAATGTTTGCATGAAATAGTCGCCAGCCTTCTCCATTCATGTCGGCATGCCTATTCAGGAATCATGCTAGGGGAATTCAAAACCGGAGCGCGGTGTTATCACCCCTGCCAGTTTTCGGGAGTGTGAACCAACGAAATAAAATTGGGAAGTGTAAATAAGCTATGATTACCAAGTGCGTGAGGACCGAGACTTCACTTCGAATGTAATTTTTGAATCCTAGGTACAACCACGATACTTTATATTGGCACGATACAAAAAACGTATCCAATATGTTTCTAGAATGTACTGATGCTCTATAATTAGCGAAAATGGAGCCTTCCAAGTTCGGTAAAGTCACGCACGCGCAATGTCACTTAACATATTCAGTGCATAATTCCAAAATATGAAATAGTAAAGTAGACAAACAGGAAAACTAATGTGAAAAGTAGAATTAAAAAATCGAATAGGAGAAAATAGGACATAACAGACAATCTACTGCCACACCCGCCCTCTGCTGGTCTGTCTATCTTTGTTTGCTTTGGCTCAATTTCATTTTATATCCTCTTCTACGTCTTTGACGTGTTATTTGTTACTCCAGACAGGGTCGTACTGGCCTCCGTAAAGGACGAGTCGTTGAGAAGACACGCTTGCACTGACCTAGGTGAGTTGTGTCGCTATATTGGCATGCATATCACCAGGGTCAAAGCAGTGCGCACCATCACTTTGACTCAACCACACATGGTGCAGCAAATCCTCAGTGCTTCGGCCTCCAGTTCTCCTAGGCACAGCCCATCCCTCTACCTGATGCCATACGCTCTCAGCCCCTATTCTTGATAAGTAATTTGAACCTAGTGGTCAATATGCAAAGCTGGAGGGATGCCTACTGTACCTGATGACTTGCACTCTCCCATATCTCGCACATTCTCTTGCCATCCTTGCTCGTTTTGTTGCGACTGGGAGACACCGACCTGAACACTGGTCGGTTGCTCAGAAGGTATTGCACTATCTGGCTAGCACGTCACGCATGGGGCTTGTGCTTGGTGAGCGATAGCCAGTTGCACTCACGAGACACACTGACGCTTCATAAGTAGACAACATCGAGAGACTCCGGTCCTCTTACGACTACTATTCAATCATGGCGCTGAAATCTGTCTTGTGGAGGCCCATTCGCTCGTCGTCGGTGGCATTGTCTTGCTGTGAGGCATAGATCTATGCTGTTGGTGCTATGGTTTCTTAGGAGTTCCACTGGTTGATGTTCTTCCTTATTAGCTTGTGTGAGATGCCTAGCTCCACCCCGGATCTGTTCACTGATAAGAAGGCCATGAACCCTTTGTTTCAAGGAGCCTAGACTAGAGGGTAGAGCGAATCACATCCAACTCTAGTATTTCTTGCTGCGTGAGCTGAAGTAGTGCAGCCAGGCATGCATAGTTTACTTGTCCTCATAGTCCAACACAACACTGATGATATCTTCACAAAGGCGCTCCCACCTTGTGATTATCAGCAGCTCTGCACACAGCTTGATCTTGCATATCGTATGCCCGCCCTCAAGGTACTAATGGTACCATTTCAGTGCATGATAACAATACATGAAATTGTAGTGTGCTACCACACGGGCTGGTCGTAATGTGTGTGCAGGTGACGTGTGAGGCGCTGGTGCGAGGCGTATGAATCACCCAGCCAGGGCTTGTCTACGTGTGCTGGTGCTATCACGCTGGCTGCCCTTATTGTGTGCGCAGGTGGCGTGTGAGGCACCTTAAGCCGTCCTATGGGGTGTATGCATTGTGGAGGCAGGGCTGAACTGCATATGCTCTTGCAACTGCTAGGGATGGCTTGCCCGTGTGAGTTGCTGCTGCTGCACAGGCTCGCCGTAGTGTGTGCACAGGTGGCGTATGAGGTTCACCTTCTACCCAAACGCCCTCTCACACTCCGTAAAGCTGCACGGGATGAAGCGGGGGAAGGGCGGGGACAGAGGGCATTGAGGAGGGAAGCAATGTGGGAATGGGAGTGTGTGCGTAGGTGATGGGTGAGGTCCACCTTGTACCCAAACGCCCTCCCACACTCTGCAAGGGACGGAGGGCGGATAGTGGGGGCTGAGCAAATAGGGCAGGTCCATATCGTATGGCCTCGGATAAGCGCCGTCCTATTAAAAGCGTCGGCGCTTATACCTGGAGCATGGCGCTTAGGGCCGGTACTCGATTATAAGCGCACCCCCTAGAAATCCATTATTTGTTATATGCGTATGCATAATTATATTTTGTTTTATTCCGATTTTGAAGCTAGTAGCACACATTCCTTTTGGGTTCGGTTGACTCTCAAAGAATACAAGCTGCGAGTCCAGTCACAATGTGTTAGCATAGGGGCGGGCATGTCATTGCCCCTGTGTGTTGGCAGAGCATCGCTTGCGCGCGATTCTCATTCCTGACGCTATAAAACATCGACTCGATTGATTGGAAAGAATGAGATGCTCACTTTGGTGCTATAAACATATAACTCAATGTTTGTCATTACGTAAGCGCATGCGCTTATGCCCAAGACTCAATTACATGTCAGCCCCTAAAAAAAATCGATTTTATTGTACGGTAAGCTCATATGCGCTACTATCCGGGGCCATACGGTACCTGTTGTACACACTGGACACACCCTTACCACCACATATCAATAAATCGGGGGTGCTATAAACATGACTGGGCAACCCCAATATCTAATGTATGATTGACAGATGGTCATATGCACCTGGCCTTGCAACTATCACACTTCCAACTGCAGCCTATAAGCAGCTAGACAAACTTGAAATTTGGATCCCTGCTCAGAAGACACATGGCACGTAAATTAAACCCCCCTAAAAGAGGAAAATTCAACTACATGTTTAAAGGAGCATCTATTTTTGGGGATCGGCAGCTAGCATGTGGTGAATTGACGTTTGTGCAAAGTCCATCAGCTTGGCCTCTTCTCCAGCCAGCTACCCATGCCTTTAATAAAAGATCCAAGGCTCATGGTGGAAGTCTGTGAGATTGTGCCAGTCCCTACAGAAGAGTCGGAGGGAATCTCATCTACTGCTTTACCCGTTACTTCCTCTACTTCTGACTGCTTGTCCGAGCAGTACTTATCAATGAGCGCTGTGAGACGGTATGCAATGTCCTTCATGTCAGGCCTGCGAGCACCTGGCGATTTGATGCAGTCGAGAGCCAGGTCTACAATGGCAAGAACGGCCTCCTCAGTTGCGTCTAGCTTGGTGTCCTTCATGCCAATCACCTGATAGTCCTCCACCATCTTGGTTGCCTGGAATGAGTCAGCGCAACAGAAAGAGGGAATGAGAACAAGAAGGTAATGCTAGTGCAAGAAGGAATCAGACCACACAATTTGCACAATATTGCCGATGTGATTTGCACTATATTGCCGATGTGATTTGCACTATATTGCCGATGTGATTTGCACTATATTGCTGATGTGATTTGCACTATATTGCCTGAGTGTTCTGCACAATATTGCCCATCTGTTTTACGTACCCATATTTGTATGTGTGTCTCTTCAACCCGAGGGGGCGTGCCAGTCACCAGTGCCAGAAGCACAATGCCAAAGCTGTAAGCAAGAGAGTAGTTGTGGGTAAGTTTAAGCAGCAAAACAGCCTTGATGCATACGGCTGATGCGAAAGATAACAATCAGATTAAAATCGTGCGAACGACAACAGGGCACGTTTTACCCTAGAACCAACCCTACCAGAAGACATCGCCCTTGGTGGTAACCACGCGTGTGCGGTTGTACTCAGGGTCCACATAGCCAGGAGTGCCGGCCACCCTGGTCTGATTATCCTCCCCGTGAGTGATGCGCTTGAGCAGCCCAGAGTCAGCCACCTTGGCTTGCATGTCGGCCGTCACGAGGATGTTGGCGGGCTTGATGTCGCGGTGAATGATGGGCGTCGCAAACCCATGCAAGTATGCCAGCCCCTCCGCGGCTCCTTGTGCGATTCGCAGTCGGTCCCGCAGCGAAAGAGGGTCTGGAAGAGATGATAATCACAGAAATGGGTGCACATAGGGTGTTGCGGATGATGGGCACTTTGAACCCATGCAAGTACGCGAGGTTTTTCGCTGCTCCTTTCACCAGGCACTGTCACTGGGGGAGTGTGACAGGGTCTGGAAGGGAGGAGCATGAGATGAACAAGGAGACACTAAGCTGTCACCACAGTGTCTTTGCTCACAGAGCAAAACTCTTTGACAGCTGGGTGGACAGTGGGCACACCACTACGGAATTTGCTCAGCTGCCTTGTGACGCACATACTGCGACTCACTCTCACTCCTGTAAATGTGGTGCTGCAAGTCTCCATTAGCCACAAACTCGTACACCAGGATTTGCTCCTGATTGCCCGTCTCCACGTTCAGATCCTAGCAGAAGCCCATCAGCTGCACCAGATTCACATGGTGGAGAGACGCGATGGCCTGCACCTGCAGGTGACGCATTCAAAACAAAGCTGCCAAGTGTTTTCCGTTTCCAGACAACACATCTGCGTGTTATCCTCAGTGACACGCTATGGCTAGAAATCATCTTTTGCTTAACCTAGTCGACGGAATCAGCAGCTGGTAAGGGCACGGGCGAGAACGGAACACAGAAAGAGAGAGAGCAGAATTGGGCTGCTTTGCTGACATGTAACAGCAGTGAGACATGGTGAAGGGCCCCCTTACCTCCATTTCAAAGTCGTTGGTCATCACAGTGGAGCGCTTGATGGCCCACGTCTGCCCCTGTGGCAAGCACCCCTTGTACACGATGCAAAATGCTCCCTTGCCCAGCACGTTGCCCTTGGCCCAGTTGTCTGTGGCCTTCACCATCTGCTGCAGCGTGTACTGCTTACACACGTCTAGACCCTCCCACTTCCCTGCATGTACTCAAAAGAGTGAAAAGAAAGTCGATTGGTGAAAGTCCGAGCTGCAGCTGCAGGAATCGAAGGTGAGTGGTGAGGTAATAGTCTGCACATATAGGCACAGCCTAGGAATAGACATTAAGGCGGAGTCTCACTTGGTCCACGGGGCCACAGCAGGCATGAGAGCACAGCAGCCAGCAGACAAAGCCAGCAAAGCACCCCACAGCAATGCCCACTATGGCACCCGTGGAGAGCGAGGACACTGCCGAGGGGTGGTTGAGCAACAAGGGGGAAGGAGAGAGCAGAGGAGGTGAGAGCAAGGGTTACAGTAAGTAGTCCGGCTGCAAGCAGTTAGCAATGGCACATGTGGAGATGTAAAGCCATGGTTGCAGTGTAAATAGAAAAGCCTCTGATTTGAGTAGCTACTAGCTATAGATACGTATTGGAGTGGGGTGTAGTGGAGGAGTTGTGCTCTTACCACTAGAGCCAGCTTTCACAACAGCGCAAGTGGAGCCATTGCCCGAGTCGAGGGCAGAGTAGCCGGGACGGCAGACGCAGGTGAAGTTGGTGTCAGATTTATATGACATAGCTACTGTAGGCTATAGTGGGGTAGTACATATGGGGTACAGCTTTCTAGGGTTTGTACTTGTACCCAACTTTCTCTTAGTCATTTCGTTCTTGTTCAGTTTCTCATAGTATCGGGCAGGTTCCCCTGTGGGAACTGTTCCTAGGGCCCACCACCTTTTTTTTTCTGCCCGGAGCGCGCTCTACACTGCCCGAGTCGCGCTCCCCTCTCACGGCCGGGTCGAGCCGCCCTTTCGACCCTGTCGCGTAGCGCTTGCGGCCCTGTCGCGTCGCCCTTGCGGCCCCTTCACATCGCGCCGCGCTCGCGGCCCCAATCCGCCGCCCTCGCGGCTCCGTCGCGTCGCGCTGCCCTCGCGGCCCTTTGACGTCGCCCTCACGGCCCTTTTTAGCCGCCCTCGCGGCCTCTTAAAGCCACCCTCGCGACCCCCCCCCCCCCCCCTCCTAGCCGCCCTAGCGGCCCCGTCGCCTACCCCTGCGGCCCCGGCGCCGCCCTTCCCTGCCTCGGCGCCGCCTTTGCTGGCCCTGTCGCCTACACCTGTGGCCCCGGAGCTGCCCTTCCCGGCCCCGGCACCGCCTCTACTGGCCCAGACACTGCTCCACCCGGCCCCGACGCCGCTCCACCCGGCCCCGACGCTGCTCCACCCGGCCTCGCCGCCGCTCCACCCAGCCCCGCCGCCGTCCCCACGCGGCCCCGCCATCACCACCGAGCCACCGGTGCCGCCGAGCTGCTTCCGAGCCACCCGATCCACCCGAGCCGCCCGAGCCGCCGCGCCACCTGAGCCGCCCGAGCCGCCGGGTCGCCGAGCCGCCGAGCTGCAGTTGCTGCCGAGCTGCCGAGCTGCAGTTGCTGCCGAGCCGCTGTACCGCCGAGCCGCCCGAGCCGCCCGAGCCGCCGAGTCGCCGAGCCGCAGTTGCTGCCGAGCCGCCGTACTGCCGAGCCGCCCAAGCCGCCCGAGCTGCCAAGTTGCCGAGCCGCCGAGCCGCCCGAGCCGCCGTGTCTGGTAAGAGCAGCGCCTCTGTCACTGCACTGCCCTTACCCTACTGCTCGCGCTGCTAGTCTACCGCTGTCATGGCTACCCCTAGTGTCCTCGCTTTTGACGCTGAGGGTCGGGCCATTGACTTTGACATCTGGGTAGATGACCTGCAGCTTTTCCTACAGTGCAATAGGGCAGACGGTCTCTCCCTCTTTGACCTCACCTCTGGTGCCTCTTCTGCCCCTACTGCTGATGCTGACGCCACTGTTCGCTCACAGTGGGCCACACGCGATGTTGCTGCACGTCTTGCTGTGCGTCGCCACCTGCCTACCTCTGAGCGTGCGCACTTTAGCCAGTACAAGAGTGCTCAGACCTTGTACCACGCTGTAGTTGCGCACTACTCCTCCCCTGCCACCGCTGCACTGAGCCGCCTCATGCTACCGTACCTCTTCCCTGACCTTGGTGCCTTCCCCACAGTTGCTGACCTCATTACGCACCTCCGCACTAGTGACACTCGCTACCGCGCTGCGCTTCCTGCTGAGTTCTGCGCCAAGAACCACCCCCCCCCTAGTACATCACCCTTAACTACATAGTCACCCGGCTCCCTAACTCTCTCCGCGTAGTCAGGGACCACTTCCTCTCAGTTTGCCCCACTACTCTCACCATTGACCTCCTCGAGAAGGCCCTCCTAGCAACAGAGAGGAGCATAGTCGATGTAGAAGCCTCTCGTGGTGACCCTCGCACCCCCGTCTTCGAGGGGTGTTCCCCCTCCCCCCTTTTGCCCTCTGTTGCCTCTACTGCTGCGGCCGACCTTGTTGGTTTCAAGTCGGTCGCCGCTGCGTGTGGCCCGAGCGGGAGACGCCGCACCGGAAAGAGCAAAGGGAGCAAGGGTGCTGGAGGGGCTGGCGGGGGTGGCGGAGGTGGCAGTGGAAGCAGTGGAGGGGGTGAGGGTGGTGGCGGGAGTGGTGGCGGTGGTGGAGGTGTCGGTGGCGGCAGTGGAGGCGGAGGCAGCGGCGGCAGTGGCGGTGGGAGCGGAGGTGGCGGATGTGGCGGCGGTGGAAGAGGCGGCGGCGGAGGAGGTGGAGCTGGTCGGGGTGGCGCTGCGCAGAGGGTCGGCTCCGGTGGTGGTCAGCGCCAGCACCAGCAGCAGCAGCGCACTCGTGACATCCCCCCCCCTCAGCTACTCCGTGAGTGGTATGCTGCACGCCAGCGGGGTGGGGGTACTGGTCCGTGCACCTACGTCCTACGCACCGGCGACCGCGCGGGTGAGCAGTGCGGGGGTGCGCACTCCACCCAGCGCTGCCTTGGCCGCCTGATGGACGCTTGGCGTCACCAGTTCTCTGAGGCCACTGAGATCCCCCGCTGGGGCGAGCTGTCTAGGGCGGGAGTAGCTGTCTTTGACCTTGACTTTGATGCTATTCTTGCTGCCATGTATGCTGTGACTATTAGTGATGAGGGTGACTGTTACCGGTGTTTTCCGCCCGACCCGAGCATTGAGATTGCTGCTCTAGGTGCTGGTGAGGCTACTGCTCTAGGTGCTCGTGCGTCTGCTCCCTCAGGTGCTGGTGAGTCTGCTCTCTCAGGTACTGCGTTGGCTTCGGCCTCCCACACCTTCACCCTTGACTTGGGGACTTCTCGCTCCTTCTTTCGAGACCGCACCTCACTCACGCCGCTTGGCCGGCCAGTTGCAGTCTCTCTGGCAGACCCCTCTGGGGGTCCTGTCCTTGCTCACTTCTCCACTGTCCTCCCGTGTCCGGCGGCCCCCTCTGGCACCCTGTCTGGTCTTTACCTCCCCTCGTTCTGTACGAACTTGGTGAGTGGTGCTGACCTACAGGATGCGGGGGTTCACCAGTTCACTCCTGCGAGTCAGTTGGTGACCCACTACACGGACGCTCGCACAGGCCGACACCTGGCCATGTTTACACGTCGGCCGGGGTCGAGCCTGTACACACTGACCACTGCGTCTCCTCCAGTCACTGCATCTGGTCAAGTAGCTGCATCGGGTCAGGTGTTTGCTGCGGCGTCCAGGTCTGGTCCTGAGTCTGCCCCCTGCTCGTGTCGCCTCCTGTCTCACGAGACTCTCCTCTGGCACCACCGCCTTGGTCACCCCTCCCTGCTTCGTCTTCGAGGCATGGCCTCCCGGGTCCTTGTCACTGGTCTCCCCCGGTCCCTCCCTCCCCTTCCTTCAGGGCCTGGCCCTACCTACGTCCCCTGTGTCGAGGGGCGCCAGCAGGCTGCCCCTCACTCCTCCCAGTTTCCTCCGACAGAGGCCCCGCTACAGACGCTTGACATGGACGTGTGGGGCCCGGCCCGTGTCCGTGGACAGGGTCACGAGTGCTACTTCCTGCTGGTGGTTGACGACTACTCGCGTTACACCACAGTCTTCCCCTTGCGCAGCAAGGGTGATGTTACTGAGGTGTTGATCGACTGGATCCACGCAGCTCGTCTCCAGCTCAAGCAGAGCTCCGGCTCGGACTTTCCTGTTCTGCGTCTGCACTCTGACAGAAGCGGAGAGTTCTCCTCTGGCCTTCTGCGAGCCTAGTGTCGTGCACGAGGCATCCGCCAGACCTTCACGCTTCCGGACTCTCCACAGCAAAATGAGATTGCTGAGCACCGCATTGGCATGGTCATGGACGTCGCCCGTACGTCCATGATGCATGTGGCTGCCCCCCATTTTCTGTGGCTGTTGCGGTTTGGTACGCGGCGCATCAGATCAACCTTCACCCCAGGGTTTCCATGCCGGAGACCTCCCCTGCTTTGCTGTGGACGGGGAAGGTTGGCGATGCGTGTGCGTTCCGTGTCTGGGGATCTCGGGTGTTTGTCCGCGACTTGTCTGCGGACAAGCTGTCCCCTCGTGCTGCTCCTTGCGTCTTCCTTGGCTTCCCCCCTGACGCGCCAGGGTGGCAGTTCTACCACCCCACCTCTCGCCGTGTTCTGTCGTCTCAGGACGTCATGTTTGACGAGTCGGTCCCCTACTACCGCCTCTTCACCTACCGCACTCCGTCCCTCCCCCCGCCACCGCTCTTCCTTGTGCCAGGTCCCCCCCCCGGTAGACCCCCTCCCCCCTTAGGGTCCTGCCCCTTCAGGTGTGTCCCAGGTAGATGCAGTCGAGGTTACTGGTGATATGGTGCTGCTGAGGGTGCTGAGCCTGGGGGTGCTGATCTGGGGGTGCTAAGCGTGTGGGTGCTACGCCGGGGGGTGCTGAGCCTGAGGGTGCTACTACTAGGGGTGCTGAGCTTGGGGGTGCTGAGGCTGGGGGTGCTACCACTGAGGGTGCTGAGCCTGGGGGTGCTGAGCCTAGGGGTGCTACGCCTGGGGGTGCTGAGCCTGGGGGTGCTACGCCTGGAGGTGCTGAGCCTGGGGGTGCGGAGCCTGAGGGAGCTGGGCCTGCTCGTGTGGCGTCTGGCGG